AGTATCTCTTCCAAACAAGAGCCAACATTACACATGAGTGTGAAATATGAGAATTCCTCTCGCAATCAAAGAAAAGGAAAATGTTTTAAAAGATCATTACTATCATTATTTTTCAGCTTTACTGAGATATAATTGACAATTGATATTGTAAGGTATTTAAGTATTCATCGCAGAGATTTGATGTACATATACATTGTGAAAGGATTCCTATCATCTATTAACATTCATCACCTCACACATTTATTTATTTTGGTGAGAATAATTAAGTTCTGCTCTCCTAGCAAATTTCAGTTGTATAATGCAGTGTAATTAACTATAGTCACCTTGTTTTACCATCAGACCTTATTCCCCTTATAGCTGAAATTTTGTTTCGTGTTACCAGTCTCTCCTTATTTTGTCTGTGCCCCCAGCCCTTGGCAACCACTTTTTTACTCTCTTTTTCTAGGAGTTTGCCTTTTTTTTATTCCACATGTAAGTGATACCATGCAGAATTTGTCTTAATCTGATGGGCTTATTTCGCTAAGCTTAATGCCGTCAAGTCATTCATACTGTTGCGAATGACAAGATTTCCTCTTTCCTCAGGTGAACAATATTCTGGTGTATGTGTTTACACACACATATATATGTGTGTACCTGTATGTATACATATGTATGTGTGTGTACGCATGGGTGCTAAGTCACTTCAGTCCTGTTGGACTCTTTGCGATGCTATGGACTGTAGACCGCTAGGCTCCTCTGTCCATGGGATTCACCAGGCAGGAATACTGGAGCGGATTGCCATTTCCTACTCCAGGGGATCTTCCCAAACCAAGGATCAAACCCACATCTCTCATGTCTCCTGCATTGGCAGGCAGGTTCTTTATCACTCGCACCATCTGGGAAGCGTCTGTGTGTGTGTGTGTGTGTGTGTGTGTGTGATATATGTGATCACATCTTTGTCCATTATTGATTGATGGACACTTAGGTTCCTAGAGCTTTGCTACTATGACTAATGCTGTAATTTACACAGGAGTGCAGATATCTCTTCCAGTTTCTGTTTTCGTTTTCTTTGTTTATTTTTTTAATTTATTTTTAATTGGAGGATAATTGCTTTATGATGCAGTTCCTTTGGATATATACCTAGAAGCTGAATCATGTAGTAATTCCATTTTAACTTTTTTAGGGGCCTCTCTTCTGTTTTATACAGTGGCTACACAAATTTACATAGTGTACAATAGTGTGCAAGGATTCCTTCTTCTCTGCATCCTTGTCAAAAATTTTGATTTTTTGTCTTTTTGATAATGGCTATCCTAGTCGGTCTGAGGTGATATTTCACTGTGGCTTTGATTTGCATTCCCCTGATGATTAGCGATGCTGAGTACCTTTTCTGTACCTTTGGCATACAAATGCCAGCCCTTTGTATGTCTTCTCTGGAAAAAAGTCTGTTCAGGTGCTCTGCCCCGCTTTTAACTGGATTGTTTGGTTTTTTGTACTGAGTTGTACGAACTGCTATTCTTTTCATTGCAGCTTTCACACATGCATGTTAGTCTTTGTTTTCTAGAGAGAGCAGTTTTATTAAAAAAAACACCTATCAAAGGGTCTGTGTGGTGGTCTTGGAGAGCAGCAAGGAAGGGGGCTTGCAGGAGAGTGTGGTGCTCGGCAGCCTCCTTTAAAGGAAAGGATCTGTGGGGACAGAGAGGTGGAGACAGCTACTTTGGGCGACAGAGAGGTGGAGGAAAGCTACTTCAGGGCAATCAGACACCAAGCGTGTGTATGTGTCCAGTCGCTGAATCGTGTCCGACTCTTGCAACCACATGGACTGTAGCCCACCAGGTTCCTCTGTCCATGGGATTTTTTCAGGCAAGAATACTCGAGTGGGTTGCCATTTCCTTCTCCAGGGGATCTTCCCAACCAAGGGATCCAACCCACATTTCCCAGGTCTCCTGTATTGCAGGTGGATTCTTTACCCTGAGCCACCAGGGAAGCCCCAAACCAAGGGGAAGAGAGGCCAAAGCTTGGCATCTCTGGACGCCTCTGTTACTAGTGAACTTGAGCAGGGGAACTCCTGCTTGGAAAGGAATCTGTTGAACAAGCAAAGTGGTGCTCAGGAAGGGCAGACCCAGGAGGAGTATATGGTAAACAAAATTGTCCCTAGTATTCTTCATTAGTTGAGTTTTTATGTTTTCATCCGAGAAAGAGAGTTGATTCCATTCTCCTTCTGTCCTCTAGGGGCGTTCTAATCCCCACAAAGCTCCTGGCCAACAGGTACCCTCCTCCTAGCAGACCAAACAAAAAGTTGTTGGCAATTTTCCAGCCACATGCAACCAAGCCCCTGGATTCCCTGGTGGCTCAGATGATAAAAGAGTCTGCCCGCAATGTAGGAGACCAGAATTCGACCCCTGGGTTGGGAAGATCCCCTGGAGAAGGAAATAGCACCCCACTCCAGTATTCTTGCCTGGAAATTCCCATGGATGGAGGAGACTGGTGGGCTATAGTCCATAGGGTCACAAAGAGTCAGACACAACTGAATGACTTCACTTTCACTTTCATGAAACCAAGGTCCAAAGTTTTCTTAAAAATTATGTATAGACACATATATGGCACAGACACCATTATTTTATTTCTATATCTAGTGTTATTTTGTCCCCACAATTAATGAACTTATTATTTATCCTACTACCTGATTCTCAAAAGGAGTTGGCCTGTTTACCAGTGAAAGACAGATGCAACAGGAACATTAAGATAAAGAAAAAGAATAAGATCTATGATCTGAATCTTTGGATGGAGGAGAGGGTATTCAAAGAGTTGCTAGAGCTGGAGATTAAAAAAAAATAAAAAGACTTCTGAGCTTCCTTGGAAGAAGAGCAAAAGGGAAATCGCTCACTATAAGATAAAATAAAATTGTCCAGTTTCTCAAGAGAAGTAAACATCAAAAAAGTTGGCAAGACATCAGTTCTTTAAGGACAGCAACAGCAAAAGAACTGAAGCCTAGTCACAGATTGTTAGAGAACGTTCTTTACTAAAGGTACATAGTCACCAGTTCCTTTCCTGTTCTTCCCTGGTCGCACATGATTTGTCTGAAACATTTCTACTGTCTCTTAGTAACTCTGGTTCTACGCTTCCCTGGAGACTGTATCCTTGGCTTCTTCTGAGCTGACACACCCTCTTAGAGGCCACAGGATACTTGATGGGTGCCTTCTTTACACCCTAGAGCACCTCCTGAGATGGTGATTTAGTTGCTAAGTTGTATCTGATTCTTGGGACCCCTCCATTGACTGTAGCTCTCCAGGCTGATCTGTCCTTGGAATTCTCCAAGCAAGAGTACTGAGTGGGTTGCCATTTCCTTCTCCAAGGAATCTTCCTGACCCAAGAATCGAACCCAGTTCTCCTGCACTGCAGGCAGAGTCTTTACTGATTTAGCCACCAGGGAAGCCATGAGCACCTCCTACTACAAAGCATCTCTTCCTATTTCAAAAGCTATGCCTCTCACTGGACCAGTGAGTACACTACTGAAGTAGCCCACAGAGGTTCCATTTATCAGTAGAACAGAGATGACTGGTGATTCTCATGCCTAATGAGGGATCCCATTCTCTTCAGTGGAGATCATCCCCAGGGACTCTCAAGTCCTGTCTTGGGCGCACAATTCAAAGACATAACCTTGGAGAACAGAGTTCCCAAAAGTCTAAGGGGGTACTCGCATGTGTTGAAATTATTTGTTTAATTTCATCTGGGAGTTATATGTATGTGAACAGTTTTCTGGAAAGAGGGCCTGTGGTCTTCATGATATTCTCAGATGGGCTCATAACTTCAAAAAAGCTAAGGAGCATTATTGTAGAATTTGATTGCTGCATCTGGGTAACACTGCAAGCTGTTAACTGTGAAGTAAGGTGTGCAGAGGAGAATGGTTTTTATTCGTGTTGACCTTAGGGCTATACCATTGACACCTACCATCCAGGATAAGGTGGAGTCCTTCCTTAGAATTGAAAAACATAGCGTGTCTCTAGCCCTTTTCTATATTGCCAAATCATAAAAAAACCACAATGAATTTATCTATGGGCCTTCCCAGGTGGCGCCAGTGGTAAAGAACCCACCTGTCAACACAGGAGATATAAGAGACACATGTTTGATCCCTGGATTGGAAAGATCCCCTGGAGGAAGACATGGCAACCCACTCTAGTATTCTTGCCTGGAGAATCCCATGGACAGAGGAGCCTGGTGGGCTACAGTCCACAGGATCACAAAGAGTCAGACACGACTCAAGTGACTTAACACAAAGCATGAATATATCTACAGTGCTCTGTGGCTTATAATACGTCCAAATACATCATCTGGTTTGGTCTTCACAATAACCCTAGGAGGTAACCATTATAGTCTCCATTTTACAGATGAGACACCCCAAGCTTAGGGAGTTTTAGTGACTGATTCAAGGTCTCACTGGAGCTAGCAGGTTCTGGGTCCATCCCAGAACCTGAGTTCTGTGGTGTGTTTATATTTTACCTGCTGGGAACCATAGCAAGATTGGAAAAGCTGGCCTTTCAGCATAGCTGAAACCAGGCCAAGCCACTCTTCCTGTTGGTTTAACTTTCTTAACTTGATGCACTGAAATGTGACCTCAGCCCCTCAGTACACACATCATCATAAGTTACAACTCAACAGCATAAGAAGTGAGTTGTTAGGTGGTAACTCAAGTTGTTAACATATGGAACATATATATTGTATTGGGTTGGCCAGAAAGTTCATTCAGATTTTCCATAAGATGGTATGGGAAGACCTGAATGTATTTTTGGCTAACCCAGTACATTGCATCTTGGTTTACTTAGACTCATGCCCTGGTCACAGACTGAGCTGCAATGACAAATACAGTGGGGGTGGGGGGGGTGGGTGCTAATGTGGTAATGGTGGTGGTAAGGGGAGCTCTTATTCATCTTGGATAGAGTTGAGTTGCTTTAGACCACTTTCTCAAAAAGATTTGCCTCTCAGTCCATCAGAAAGCACTTCTGATCCTGAATGTCTCACCACAGGAGGCCTACGTGACTCAGCAGGATAAAATCCGGCTGGTGGGGGAGCTGATGACGGTCCTCGGGTCAGCGATCATCCTATTCCTAGAGGTGAGGTGCAGCTGAACCCTCAGACTGAACTGAACTCTTTTATCTTTTTTTTTTTTTTTTAACACCAGAAACACTTTGTTTTGTGGCATAGCCAATTAACAATGTTGTGGGTAGTTCCAGGTGAGCAGTGAAGTGACTCAGCCATACACAGACATGTATCCATTCTTCCCCAAACTCCCCTCCCATCCAGGCTGGCACATAATCTTGAGCAGAGTTCCCTGTGCTGTCCAGTAAAGTCCCACTGGTTATCCACTCTAAACACAGCAGGGTTTATACATGACCTTCCTGAAGTCCCCGACCGCCCCTCCACTCCCAGGGACCATGAGATTGTTTTCTGAGTCTGTGAGTCTCTTCTGTTTCGCAAGTAAGTTCATTTGTATCATTTCTTTTTCGATTCCACATATAAAGGACGTCATATGATAGTTTTCCTTCTCCATCTGACTCACTTCACTCAGAATGACACTCTCTAGGCCCATCCATGTTGGCACAAATGGCCTCATTTCATTATTTTTAATGGCTGAGTAATATTCCTGTGTGTGTGTGTGCGTGTGTGTGTGTGTGTGTATACACCACATCTTCTTTATCCATTCCTCTGTTTATAAATATTTAGGTTGCTTCCATGTCTTGGCCATTGTAAAAAGTGCTGCAATGAACATTGAGGTACATGAATCCCTTCAGATCCTGCTATTCTCTGAATATATACCCAGGAGTGGGATTGCAGGGTCATATATGGTAGTTCCATTTTTGGTTTTTTAAGGAACCTCCATATTTTTCTCCACAGTGGCTGGACCAGTTTACATTATTGTTTGTGGATTTTTTGATGATAGCCATTCTGATCAGTGTGAAATAATATCTTATTGTAGCTTTGATTTGCATTTCCCTAATAGCTAGCTATGTTGACTCTCTTTTCATGTGGCTATTGTCCTCTTTAGAGAAATGTTTATTCAGGTCTTCTGCCCATTTTTTGAGTGGGTTTTTTGTTTTGCTACCAAGTGTCATAAGCTATTTGTAAATTTTCAAGACTAATCCCTTAACAGTCATATCATTTGCAAATACTTCCTCCCAATCTATGGATTGTCTTTTTGTTTTTTGTTTCCTTTTCTGTGCAAAAGTTATGAGTTTAAGCAGGTCCCACTTGTTTATTTTTGCTTTTATTTCCATTATTCTGGGAAATGGATTAAAAAAAGATGTTGCTGTGATTTATCGAACTGAAGTCTACATTTTCTCCCCCCCCTCCCCCTGGCCTTTTTCCAGATCCCAGATATCTTCAGGGTTGGTTTCTCCCGCTATTTTGGACAGACTGTCCTCGGGGGGCCATTCCATGTCATCACGTGAGTGTTCTTCCTTCTGGCCTCCTGCCTTCCCTTGCCAGAAACATTTCAGGTCTCCCTATCCCTCTCTGGGACCCTCGCCTCCAGGGACTTTTCTCCAGCGGGTTCGTGGGTGTGACTGTGTATGTGTTTAGGTGGTTAAGCGGTGGGTTCCAGGCAAGTCAGTGCCATGCTAGAAGGGACCTAGAATATTCCCAGCCCCTCCTGTCATTAGCCCCCTCCTCTCTCTCCCCCCAGCATCACCTATTCCTTCCTGGTGCTGGTGACCATGGTGATGCGGCTCACTGACACCAACGGGGAGGTGGTACCCATGTCCTTCGCCCTGGTGCTGGGCTGGTGCAGCGTCATGTACTTTGCGCGAGGATTCCAGATGCTGGGCCCCTTCACCATCATGATCCAGAAGGTCGGTGCTGTCTCCAGTTTCTCTTGCTTTCAGACATCAGACTTTTCCCAGACCAAGGGAGGGAGTAGGAGCAACAACAACAAAAAAATGAGGCTCCTACTAGATCTGGTGGAACTCTGGTGGCTCCCGATCTAGCAGCAGTAGCTGCTGAGAGGCAGGTGGAGATACAGTCCCCCACCCTCCCTCCCTTCTCTGTTCTCTGTAGATGATTTTCGGAGACCTGTTGCGTTTCTGCTGGCTGATGGCTGTGGTTATCGTGGGATTCGCCTCAGGTGAGGACATCACTCTCTCCTCCTCCAGAGCGTGGGATTCAGTTCTCCAGAAGTTTCTCTCTCACTCTTGCCCTCACTTATTTCTCATTTGCACTTCCTTTTGCTTTTTTTCCCTCCTAGTGGAAAGTGAATCGAAAAACATGCTCATATGTTTAGGATCTGGGTCACTCAGATTGGCCTAGAGCATGGACTCATGTGCTCTGAAGTTCTGGGTCAATCATGTTTGTGTTGACTAACTGCCCTGCGGCATCTTTAAAGGAGAGATAGACAAAGGGCCTCGAAGAGGGACGGATATGAAACAGGAAAGACGGGCCAGTTGTGAAACGTGCCATATGCAAACAGTTCAGTATTTAATTCTTCTATGTTTACACTTCAGAAGAATAAATGAAAAGCATTCAATAACACACCAAGTGGCCTTTTTTTTTTCATTTATGTAGTCAAAGTTTAAAGAAAAGAAAGGAATTTGGAGAAGGAGGTACAACAAAAGGGTTTGGAGGGTTTGAAGAATGGGAGAGGAAAACAGAAGAGTTGTGAAGAGAGGCTTGAAGCACAATGGCCAGTGGGAACCCAGTCACGGCCCGAGGAGTAGGGGAAGGGTTCCAGGGAAAGGAGGAGAGGAAACATCCAGAACAGGGCGGATGACACAGAGCGGAGGGAGGGAGAGAACAAGTGGACAAGGAGAAGAAAGTTCTTCGGGGAAGGCAGAGAGAGGAAGGAAGAGCAAACACTGGTGCCTCTCATCCAGTTCTCCACGGCTGCGGCAGAACCTCTGGAAGGCAGGTGGATGTACAGGGTGACATGTGAGGACCCCAACCCTGGGCTCTTGGAGCAACAGATGCCATTCCTGTCTTAGGCATTCCCTTGCTTAATGGGAGTTCCCAGAAAACAGTAAACGGAAAAACTACACCAAGATGGGAACTCTGAGAGGGTAAAACTTAGTCTGTCCATTTGGAGGATTCCTCATGTTTCCTTCCTCCCCACCCTCATCTGTATGTATGCAGAATGAGGGGATGTAGCAGAGCCATTTTCTATAGATCTCCCAAAGCATCTGTTCTTCATTGCTGCAAAACCATGCTTTGTCATAGACCCTAGCTCTGCTCTTGGGGTCATCTTATTTAGATTTCCATTTCCCACACAGGGATGAGGCTTTCAGAGGTTCTGATGCTGTAGTAAGTTTCCAGGATACCTAATACCATCCAGTAAGGCTACACATCACATTTTTTTTGCAATGGTCTAAGAACATGCAGGAAATCTCAGAGTAATGGATGATTATCTAGAGAACACTGAGATTTTTTTTTTAGGTTCTTTTCTTTTAGACTTTTCATGTGCTCAGTTCTTTAAAGTTGTTGAAGATTTCATGCATTCTTGTAACAATTGGCCTTTTAAATATTTGGTTCTAAAATGTAAAAACCAGTTAGGTGACCTATACTATATATATCTACTGATAGATAGATGATAGATGTTAGCTAAATTCTGAGTATTGCCATTATCCAGAGTGATAAACTTGGTCATAGGATACCTCAGGGTTAGCCAAGTACACAGGGAAAATGTGACTTATATAATATGTATAATTTACACATCTACATTTGTGTGTGTGTGTGTGTGTGTGCATGTATGTGGGTTTCCCAGGTGGTAAAGAATCCACCTGCTAATGTAAGAGACATGGGTTCAATCCCTGGGTGGGGAAGATCCTCTGGAGTAGGAAATGGCAACCCACTAGAGTATTCTTGACTGGGAAATTCCATGAACATAGGAGCCTGGCCAGCTACAGTCCATGGGGTGGCAAGGAGTCGGACATGACTGAGCAACTGAGCAAGCATGCACGGGCATGCATGCATGTCGTGTGTGTAATTGTATGGAGATACATGTTGGAGGTAGAATGAATACTGACCAGGCCCAGGCTTATTGTGATAACTCCCTGTTTCCTGATCTCCATGCCCTCTTCCTGGGCGGAGCAGCGTTCTATATCATTTTCCAGACCGAGGACCCAACCTCTCTGGGGGAATTCTATGACTACCCCATGGCGCTCTTCAGCACCTTTGAGCTCTTCCTCACCGTCATCGACGGGCCCGCCAACTATGATGTGGACTTGCCCTTCATGTATAGCATCGTCTATTTTGCCTTCGCCATCATCGCCACACTGCTTATGATCAACCTGTTGGTCGCCATGATGGGCGACACACACTGGCGGGTGGCCCACGAACAGGACGAGCTCTGGAGGGCCCAGGTGAGTTCGTCAGTGGTAGTCTTCCTGAGGGTCAGGGGATGGAGAGAAAAATCAAAGTGCAATATGTCATGGTCGATGACTCTCAGGACAGTCATGGAACACCCCAATGGGGGTGGTCATCTCAACAGGAATTTTTGAATAGATGGAGGGTAAGTTGACAGGATGGTAGGATAGGGTTAGGATCAACACCCAGGAACTGTGTGTTGACCACAGTGGAAGGGTAGATTCAGGAGTCATCCTTGACTCCAGAGGTAACTAGAAATTTTCTTCTTCTTATGTATTCTGTACTCTGATTTCTCTTCAGATCGTATAAATCTTTCACCTTTTAACTTTCTTGTCCTTATGTATTCTAGTTTTTCATTTGAACCTTATCTTGAATTTGCTTTTATAACTGTTTTTCTATTATCTTTTCTTTATATCACCACAGGGTAATAAAATCTTTGAGTTGGTACTGTCTTTAGTGGTCTTCTAGTTGAACTCCTACCCAACGTATACTCATTTATTGGTCAGAGGGTAATTTAGTGTCTTCTTTCATGCTAAGTAAGACCTTATTATCATGTGGATTTGGGTAGAGGTTGGGAGGAGAGAGCTTTTTCATATTTCAAAAGCTTTTGTTATTAGAAAAGCCCATACTGTATTGAGCTGAAACCTCTCTTTCTATAAGATAGAAAAACTGGGCCACCCGTTGGCCCCCATTTTTCCTTCTTTTATAATGCAGAACACATTCTCCCTTAGACGTGCCATTCAAATATTTGAAGAGAGCCATTTGTCCCTTTGGACTTTCCATTCATTAGCACTAATTATTTGGAGCCTTTCTCTGTGCTGGGAAATATCTGGGATCTGGGGGCATAAGCAAGATGATGTAGTCTGTGCCCTCATGGGGCTTACAGTCCAGCTGAAAAGACAGACATTAAAACTTCATAGAAAGCCATGTAAATAGAAGAATAAATGTGTCGTAGAGAAGTGAAGGTGCTAAGAACAGGAGGCAAGAGAAGATTTGGACTGAAAAGCTAGAAAGTGCTTTCCTGATAGACTGACATTTAAGATGAGCCCCTAAACATGGGTAATAATTCATCAGTTATGAAAAATAAGGAGGGACTTCCTGGCTGGTCCAGTGGCTAAGACTCTGTGATCCCAACACAGAGGGCCAGGGTCAGATACCTGGTCAGGGAACTAGATCCCACATACCAAAATTAAAACCTAGTGCAGTCAAATAAATATTTTTTAAAAAAGAAGAATAAGGGGAAGGAATGGGAGTTAGGATTTTTGTCCATCAGGACACTTGGCTATGGGGACAGAAAACCAAACTCAAATAGACTTGGGGAAAAAAGAGTGGGAAGATGTATTGATCCTCATAACTGGAACGTTTAAGGAATTAAATTAGCTTTAGGCATGTCTAGCCAGAGCCTGGATCTCCATCTCACCCATTACATGAGTTTTTCTGTGGTTCTCTCTTTTGTCCTGACCCCTCTAAGTCCGTCTCTTGCATTGTGTTGCTGAGATAGCTTATAGGAGCTCTAAACTGAAAAAGGAGTGAGCAGATACACCCATTCCAATGGCCCCACTCTTTTTATTTATTCTTTTTCTTTTTTGCTGCCCTGGATTTTTGTTCTGGCACGGGGGCTTTCTCTAGTTGTGGTGCATGGGGGCCTCTTTAGTTGTCACAGCAAGGGTTCTAGAGCTCCAAGGCACAGTCATTGCAGTGACCTTAGTTGTCCTGCAGCATGTGAGATCTTACTTTCCTGATTTGGGACCCAACCTGAGTCCCCTGCACTGGAAAGCAGATTCACAACCACTGGACCACCAGGAAAGTCTCAAGGGGCCCCATTCTTACTGTATTCTGTGTGACTCCTGATGCTGTGGATCTGTAGCCTTGAAAAGAGCATCTCCTCTGTCCACTGAACCCATTTCATTGCAACAAGTTTGGTCATAGGTGGATCCTTCCATTTAAGACTAAGGCCAAGGACTGGAGAACTGGTGCTGGTGGTAGAGTTTTGGGGAAAATAGATGAATTAACCAGGACTGTGTGAGGTCCAGTCTATTCTAACGGATAGACTGGCAGTAGATAAGTGACTTTCTAAACATCAGATGGGCTCTGTTCCCAGAGGAAGATTGGGAGGCTGAATGATGGTCCAAGTAGAAACAATAAGTGTCCCTTTCAAGATAAAGAAAAAGCACTATCTAGGGAAAGGAAATAGAATGATTGAAAGTCCTGAGGGTGGAGGGAACTTGGCACAACTCAGGAGCAGAGAGCAGGCCAAGAGAATCATGGAGTGCTGAGAAAGATGGGAGCATAAGAAGATGAAGTAGAGAACTAAGTTATTTTAGGGATTCCTAGTTTGTTCCATCAATCAAGCTTCCTGGACCCAATCCATCCTGAATGACCCTCTGTTCTGACCTAGATCCTGGGGCTTTAAAGCTAGAACAATCTTGATGTGATTGGAGGAAAGCAGCATAAAGAGGGATCATCCCTTTTCTGGCTTTGAACACTAAACTATAAATAGCACCTAAAATGGAGTCAGGTCTTTCAGTAAATATGCAGTTGGCTCTTATCAAATATGCAATTGGCTCATGATCAAATAGAACCCTCACATCTTTGTTACATGATTGATTTGACTAAGCCCCTTTACCGGGTTTTCCTGTGCTTAACACTGACACTTTAGTCTTATAAATGTAGCACCTTGCATTGGGTTTACTTAAATTTCACATTAGTGGTTTTTGACCAGCATTCCAATCTGGTAAGATCATTTTTATATTGCTTTGTCATCATGCCTATTACATATCCCTCCCAGTTTTGTGTCACAAGCATATTTGATAATCTTGTCTTATGTTTCATCTAAGTTAATAATAATGAGGGCTGGGTAAAGGACAGGACACTTTCCATGCCACTAGAATTTTCCCTGCCATGTTTGGAGTCATTAACCCACTCTTTTCCTTCTTAGGATATGGGTGTATTTTTAATTCACTGCAGATTCCCTCAACATCAGCAGTTACCATTTCATCCCCAAGATCACAGAGATTCTATTTAATCATTTTATTTAAATCCAAATAATCGGTCTATGGATTTCCTATGAAAAAGGAAAAGATATTCGCTTGGATGGGATGGCTCATTTTCCCTGAATCTGAGTGGTAATGCAGGGGTCACTGTTTTATCCAAAACTCGCATACAATAGTCTCGCCTTGGGCGATGAGTGATGAGGGAAGCAGTAGCATGGCGCCTCTCACGAACAGGGGGATGGACGGCGGCTGTCACCCATCCCTGAACAGACGCCCTCCTCCCTCTCTGTTCCCTCTGTCAGTAGCCCCAGGGTCCTCTCAGCCTCACGGCTCCTTCTGGGTTCTTCCCCCGTCTCTCGTCTCCTCCTAGGTCGTGGCCACCACGGTGATGCTGGAGAGGAAGATGCCTCGCACCCTGTGGCCGCGCTCCGGCATCTGTGGGTACAAGTACGGGCTGGGGGACCGCTGGTTCCTGCGGTGAGTGACCCTGGAGACCTGTGGAGTGTCCCCCGGTGTGAGGCCGTGGGAGCCAGGGTGCCCGGTTCTGCACGTATGACCCTCCTCTCCATTCTCGGGGTCCCAGATTGGACCCGGAGGAGAAGTCATCACTCTCTGAAGTGAGACTGTGTTCGCCTGTTTAGGGGAGGGGTGCGGACAGGGAGCGCCAGCCGCGAGCTCGGAAGGGCAGTGACGTGTGCACCGCCACAAACACGTATCCGCGCTCCGCTGTGGGCATGCGCTCCTCAAACGGGTCTAGTCTTGTTTCCACCTGACCCCCACTCCTAGAAGATTTTTAAAAAATTTTTATTTATTTATTTTTTCCTGGTTGTGCTGGATCTTCATTGCGGGTGGGCTTTCCTCTCGTTGCGTTACTTTAGTGCAAGGGCTTCTCACTGCGGGGGCGTCTCTTGTTTCAGAGCGCGAGCTCTAGGACGTGTGGGCTTCCGCAACTGCAGCCCCCGGCCTCTAGACCACAGGCTCAGTGGTTGTATCACATGGGCTTCGGTGTTCCGTGGCACGGGGTATTCTTCCCGGACCAGGGATCAAACCCGTGTCTCCTGCTTTGGCCGGCNCATCCATACCTGACCACTGGAAAAACAATAGCCTTGACTAGACAGATCTTTGTTGGCAAAGTAATGTCTCTGCTTTTTAATATGCTATCTAGGTTGGTCATAACTTTCCTTCCAAGGAGTAAGTGTCTTTTAATTTCATGGTTGCAATCACCATCTGCACTGATTTTGGAGCCCAGAAAAATAAAATCAGCCATTATTTCCAAATCCTGAAGGCGCAGCCCTTCTGGTCTCTTTCCCAGTTTATCCTCCACTTCCCTTCGTTTGATCCTAGCAGGTCGTCCAGCTTCAACGTGGCCTGCTTCCTCCTGCTCTCCCCTCATTCCTGGTTCCCATCTGTGCTGCATTCACTTTGGCTTCTCCTCATGGTCCGGTCTCTCCCCAGATCAGCTGAGCTTCTTTCCTTTCTCACTTCCTCAGAGTTGAGACCAACCAAGACCAGAATACTTTGCGAGCGCGTCGCTACGTGGAAGCTTTCAAGGGCTCCGACAAGGAGGAAGGACAAGGACATCCCCCTGAGAAACGGCCCTCAGTGTCTGAAAGCGGGCTTCTAGCCAGAGCCTCCCTGGCCCTCCCGACCCCTTCCCTGTCCCGGACCACGTCTCGAAGCAGCGGCAGTCACCGAGGCTGGGAGATCATTCGTCGCAACACCCTGGGACACGTGAATCTCGGACTGGACCTTGGGGAGGGGGATGGAGAGGATCGGGTTTATCAGTTATGATCAGGACCCTTGTTACTCTCATCCTGACTCCAGGTGGGCCTGGGTGAAGGCAGAGAAAGAGACACTGCTTGTGAAGCATCCGCCCTTCCTGCCTGTTAACCCTGTGAGGGGTGGACAGAAGAATTCTCCTAGGCCATCCATACCTCACCCATCACCTCAGCATTCCCAGGAATGAGTGTCTTCTGGCTTCTTGGAAGTCCCACCTCTTGGGAAAAGAGGGTATCTGTTCAAGCAGAGTTAGGCTTGGAAACTAAAGACACCAGGTAGGGATGCTAGGTCAAAGGCTGGGTCATCATCTCCTTTTCTGCCCAGTGAGGTGCTAGACTGTGAGCTGTGGCGTCTCCCAGGGCTTCACGTAGCACCAGCCGGGCATGGCCCTGAGGTTGTAGCCTCAACTCTTCCTGCACCTCGTAGGACCCTCTCCCCACCTCACAGCCAAACCCACACTAGAAAACTGCAAGAAGAAGGGTTATTCATCCTTCCTTTATTTTTAAAAAAATGTGTTAAGATATGAAGAACATAAAATTTACCATTTTAAGCATTTTTCAGCTGTACCTTTCAGTGGTATTAAGTACATTCACATTGTTGGGCAACCATCACCACTATTCATTCAGGGAATTTTTTAAACCAAAAATCGTGTACCTGTTAAACATGAATTCCCTATCATTCCTTCCCCATGGTCCCTGATAACCAATATCCTACTTTCCATCTATGAATTTAAGTTTTCTAGTTACCTCGTATAAGTGGAATTATCCAAATTAGTCCCATTGTGCCTGGCTTATTTGATGTAGTATAACGTTTTCAAGATTTATCCATGCTATAGTGTGAGTCAGAATTTCATTCCTTTGAAAGGTCTAATATAATAACATCTCATTGTATGTTTAGATCACTTTGTGTTTATCCATCCCTCTGCTGATGGACAGTTGGGTTGTTCCACCTTTGGCTGTTGTCATATGAACATTGGTGTACAATTATCTTTACAAGTTCCTGCTTTCAGTTTTGTTGGATACTGAAAACTTCCAAACTTCCATCCATTATCTAGGATCAAATGAAGGGAAGTGGAGGGAGGTGGAGGATAAACTGGGATAGAGACCCAAAGGGCTGCACATTCAAGATTTGGAGGGTAATAGGGCCGGTGTGGGGTGTGATAGTGGGGAAAATGTGGGTGAGTATGAAAGAGAAAACAGCCACTTAAAAGATAAGTGAAAGCAGTTTTGAAACTTCTAGCAGTTCTTTAGAAGTGGAATAGCTAGATCTTATGACAAGTCTTTATTAAATTTTTTGAGGGACTGCCATCCTGTTTCTGGCAGCAGCTGTACTGGTTTACATTTCCTGAAGCAATATAATGCACAGGATTCCAACTTTTCCACATCCTCACCAACACGTGATTTTCTGATTTTGTTTTAAATTTATAGTAGCCATCCTTTTGATTCTGCAATGGTATCTCATTGTGGATTTGTGCATTTCCCCAATGATTAACGGGGCATCCCTGATAGCTCAGTTGGTAAAGAATCTGCCTGCAATGCAGGAGACCCCGGTTTGATTCCTGGGTCTGGAAGATCCACTGGAGAAGGAATAGGCTACCCACTCCAGTATTCTTGGGCTTTCTAGGTGGCTCAGCTGGTAAAGAATCCACCTGCCATGCCAGAGGCTGGGTTCTATCCCTGGGTTGGGAAGATCCCCTGGAGAAGGGAAAGCCTACCCGCTCCAGTATTCTGGCCTGGAGAATTCCATGGACTGTATAGTCCGCGGGGTTGCAAAGAGCTGAACATGACTGAGCGACTTTCACTTTCACTTTCAGTGACTAACAACATTGAGCATCTTTTCAGTGTCCACTGGCCATTTGTGTATCTTTTTTTCTTGGAGAAATGGTTTTTTTTCAAGTCCTTTGTTCGGTTTGCCTTGGGGGTTTGGGGGTTGCTATTTTTCAGTTGTCTTATCCTTGTTTTTTGAGACTTAGAGTCTAAAGTGTATCTCATTTGCATCCTGGTATGTTTTAAAATATGGGTGGTAAAGTATTCCTTTCTCTGCGTGGATGGCCCCATCAATTATTTTATGGGACCATCCCTGGCTTGTCCCTCAGGTTGCCTGTTAGCAGTTGTTCATCCTTGTGTCTGGAGGTAGCAGGCTTCCAGCCATGTTTCCTGTGACAGCTCCCCTCTGCCCCCAGCTCCGTTGCCCCTGCACCAAGGTTGGGGGGGGGGCAGCAATCACAGAGCATGGGCCATCCCTTTCCAGGAAGGATATTGGAAACTAGGTGTCCGGGGTGCCCATCACAGCCTCACTTCTGTCTCCAGCCCTTCTCATCCCAGCCCTGTCAACACCCTCACCACAAAGCCGCAGCAACTTTTTAAGAGGACTGTGATCTGGAAGAGCCAAAAGGTAAGCGGGATTTGTGAAACTGCCCCTAGGTTCATCCAGATACACACGCAAGGCCCAGGTGAGTGTGGAATGGTGAGGGATAACTCACACACACACACACACACACACACACACACACACACACACACGCACACACAGGGGTTCACAGGTGGTACAGTTTCTAAATGTGCTCAGTCAGCGTGATTCCTCCTATCTTCATCCACAATGGAAGCTCCCCCTCTCCTGTGTAAAGCTAAACTCCCATCTCTATTCCAGATAGTTTTCTTTCTGTCTCTTCAGGCAGCTCTGTCCACCACTGTATCCTCTAACTCCTCTCATTATTCTAACTTCAACCTCTCTCTCTCCCCAAGCGATGCTAGTCAGCAAATAACCATGCTCTGCTCTTTCCTATCCTTAAAGAGATTGTAATCGCCTCCCCTCGATTTCCGTTTCTCCTTTCGGCTCCTGCTCTATCTTTTTACTCCCTCTTCGGAGCCAAACTTCTTAAAAGGAGACTCTGTTGTCTGCTGAACTCACATTGAGTCCCCACCCCATTGTGGTTTGGCCTTGCCCCTCCTGCTACTGACAGCACTCTCATCAAGGTCATCTCCCCATAGCTAACCCCGCTGAACCATCTGAGTCTTGTGCAAACTCTGTAGGGCTCAATACCCGTGGACCACTCACCCCCTCTCAGCACGCCCCTCGTGCCGTGCTCACCTCCCACTCTGCCTGCTTCTCTCCTCCCCATCTCTTAAATAGTTTTGGTCCATGAATCTCTCTGTTTTCCTCAGCACCTGGCAATTCCTGCCACCTCCATGGATGATGTTGACACACACGTTTGTGATTCAAGACTTCTTTATCTTGGCTTTAGTTCTGTCTCCTGAGCTCCAGGAGACAGCTCAGATGCCTCTCTATTAGACAACTCTACCTGGATATTTTACAGATATCTGGAACTTGACGTGTCCCAAACTGAACAGCTTTCCTTCCTCACCAAACCTGCTCCTCCACCAGCATTTCCAATCAAATAAAAGCAGGCGAAATTGCCTAAGCCCCAAACCTAGGCGTCTTCCTCCACACACCCATCTCAACTCTCATTTGCAGTCAGTCTCAGGTCTGGTGGATTCTACTCCCTAAAACATCTCATTTGAGAAAGAATAACTTTTGAGTAGATGATACATCCCATGGCCCGAGATTCAAAGAGCACATAAGATATACAAATAAAAAAGCATTCCTGCTTCTCTTCTGGCCCCTCAGTTATCCACCTCCTCAGGGACATTCAGTAGTGAGTTTGTTCTTTATCCTTCCAAAAATACTTTATGCATGGCCAAGCCTACCTACATACGGGCTTCCCTGCTGGCTCAGAAGGTAAAGAATCTGCCTGCAATGCAGGCAGCTTGGATTTGATCCTTGGGTTGGGAAGATGCCCTAGAGAAGGGAATGGCCACCCACTCTAGTATTGTTATGTATACATTCTTTTAAAACACATGCAATATAGTACAATGTAGTAACAAGAACTGTTCTTGATTTTTTCACTTCTAATGCTTTGAAGACTGTTGCACTTGTCTCTATCCTTTGGCTAATCTTCCGAAAAGGGCTGCTGTGGTCTCCCCACTGCCTTCCAGGAGTGGGTTCCTGGAGTCTTGTTTTTTTCCACTGCAGTCTTGGTTTTTTCCACTCCACCATCCACACTGGAGCTACATTGATCTTTGTCAGATGCAAGTCCTGCCTCAACCTGTGGCCTGGAAGCCCTTCCCTGAGATGACACCTGGCAGCCTCCCCAGCCTCTTCACCCTTGTCTTCTCTGGCCCTCCCTTTCATCATGATAATCATTATTCGTTCCTCTTCTTTTTTCCTTCTTTTCAGCATTCACAGTTTCTGGATCTTTCTACCTCTCTGCACCCACCCTCCCTTCCATCTTTGTAACTTCTCTTCCTCCTGTTAGTCTCAACATAACAATTGTATATTGTGTTTGTGTGTGTGTGTGTGTGTGTGTTGGTGGGCAGGGGGTGAAGGTGGGGGACTGACCCATAGGCTAGATTGGAGTTTGCCTGTTCAATTTCCAAGCCACCTATTTTCTTTTTATTATACATCCTGAGCTTTGGGTGCTCACTTTTTTAAACACCTGTTTTCCTTAACAGACTGTAAGCTCCACAAAGGAGAATGTGATCCCCATATTATTCAGTATTGTGTTCCCAGTGCTTGGCATAATTTCTGGTACAATGTAGTGTGTAATAAATATTCATTAATCAAATCTATGAATGAGTGACCTGTTTTTATTCTAAGTTCTTCTACTGGACATATTTCAGATATTTCTTTCACTTGTCGTAGTAGAGAGGAAAATACTGGCCTTTGTGTAGGATTGTAATAGTTAAAGACATAATAAGGGTCGAAGCACATTGTAAAGGATAAAAGAAAAACAATGCTAACGTCAGTCATCATTGGGAATTTTCTCTGCTTATATGTACTTTTGTGTGTGCAAGAGACAGACAGAGAAAGACAGAGAAAGGGAGTGCGGGAAAGGAAAGGATATGGAATGTTATGAAGAAGGAGAAAAAGAGGGAAGGATTCCAGAAGCAACGCTCTGAGTCATGTGGTACCCACTGTAAGAAGTCCTCAAGGCATGAGATTCTTGAGATTCTACATCTATGGGATTCTGTTCTATGAGCTTCTGCATCTGCCTGTGGGAACCCAAGGATGACATGAAAAGAAAGACACCCAGGCATCACTGTGCAGCAAGACAGATGCAGTAAGAGGATCCCCTGGGCGCTGGAGGGTTAATGGAGCTGGCAGATGTTTTAGACCCAACACAATGGGGTGAAGCTGCCAGGCTCATGGGCTGCAGAGACTGCAAAGACCAGATGGGCTGGGGGGACAGAGGAGAGGAAGAACCAGGGTCCCTGCCTCGGGAAGTCTTCAGGTCCCCCCACAAACACTTACCATGTCCCTCCTTCTCTCCCCTTGCCCTAAACAGAGAAGCAGAACAGCCTGGCTTCCATGCACCTGACCTGCCAGAGGTGGGCAGGTAGTGGGAGGACAGGTAGCTCTGGATTTAAAAAATGCATCACCTCTCAGCTGTTTGCTGAGTATGTGATCAACAGGGTTCTGAGTTCTGGTGACATAGTGGCACAACCCTGGGGAAGGACTCTGCCTGCAGCCAGAGAAGAGTGGGCAGGGGCCAGGCTTCCCACCCCCAGTCTGGACTGCCTCTATGGGCCCTGTGAGCACAGATCAGAGGCACATGGGGCGGCACACAAGGCCCCTCCTGCCTCGAGATCACTCCATGAAATTGGAGAAAATGCCTTGACTTTGGCATGGGAGCTAGCCTCACTGAGTTCTCTGGGCTGGGCCCACCTGTTTCTGTTCAGTTCAGTTCAATCACTCAGTTGTGTCCAACTCTTTGTGACCCCATGGGCTGCAGCATGCCAGGCCACCCTGTCCATCACCAACTCCCGGAGTTTACTCAAACTCATGTCCACTGAGTCAGTGATGCCATCCAACCATCTCATCCTCTGTTGTCCCCTTCTCCTCCTGCCTTCAATCTTTCCCAGCATCAGGGTCTTTTCACATGAATCAGTTCTTTGTATCAGGTGGCCAAATTATTGGAGCTTTAGCTTCAACATATCCAATAAATATTCAGGACTGATCTTCTTTAGGATGGACTGGTTGGATTTCCTTGCAGTCCAAGGGACTCTCAAGAGTTTTCTCCAACACCACAGTTCAAAAGCATCAATTCTTTGGTGCTCAGCTTCTTTATGGTCCAACTCTCACATCCATACATGACCACTGGAAAAACCATAGCTTTGACTAGACAGACCTTTGTTGGCAAAGTAATGTCTCTGCTTTTTAATATGCTGTCTAGGGTGGTCATAACTTTCCTTCCAAGGAGTAAGCGTCGTTTAATTTCATGGCTGTAGTCACCATCTGCAGTTTCTTAAGGCTAATAAAAAATATGACAATGTGCCAGGAAAGAACTACTTTGACACATGGAGCCGTGTCACATCGATAGGGAGTTTGGGTCGAGGGGCCCCTCTCTCTGCCTCCGGGAGGGCAGCCAGGAGGGAGCCACCTGGGCGGGCCTGGTCACCCTGGTCTCCCGAGGCCTGCACCGCCTCTCTGTCGTCTGTGGCATTGAGGAGCTTGCCACGGGGCCAGAGCGGGGCTGTGCAAGGCCAGGCTGCCAGCCAGGGTGGGGCCCAGGGTGGGGGTTCCCCCTCCCCTGTGAAGTGGCAGGCGTCTGAGGAGGGGTCTGCCATGTACATACAGGTGCCAGTATTTGCTTTTCTTCCTCCTGCTTGTTGCTTGCCTGACCCCTTCCTGATCAAGCGCTCGAGTCGACTGAGTGGGACCAGCAACAAGTTTCCTCCAAGAAACACCACCTCTGGCACCTCGCCGACCCCAACCACCTCCGCCTCCATTGACCAGGGCTGGCCTGCCTTGGGGTCTGAGCTAACCCAGGGCTACTCTGCTGCCCTCTGCCGACTTCCTCATCCCCTCTGGAGAGCCAGGGCCCCTTCAGGGTGATGGGTGCAGGTCAAAACCCAGTCTCAGGGGCCCACTCCACCATGGGGCTGGCTGATGGCTTCTTTATTGACTTAGTTTTGGGCTGCGCTCGGTCTTCACTGTTGCACGTGCTGGGTCGGCTTCTCACTGCAATGCTTCCCTTGTCCGGCCCCTGGGGCTTAGAGCACAGGCTCTACGGTTGCGGTGCATGGGCTTTGTTGCCCCATGGCATGTAGAATCTTCCCGGACGAGGGATCGAACCCCATGTCCCCTGCATTGGCAGGAGGATTCTTAACCACTGGACCGCCAGGGAAGTTCCACTGATGACTTCTGACGTGTCTGCCTGCCATGATGGGGACCATGGCACTGTAGCACACGTGTGGAGGCATGAGCATTTCAGCAGTGGAGGCAGTCCTGATCACACTATCTTTGCCTCTCCCTACTTCTCCTCTCTCAGGCCTTCGCTCTTCATCTCTCTCTGGTCAAGGCCCCCAGATTCAGAAATAAGAAGGTAAGGGAGGCAGACAGATGCTTCAGAGAGTGGCATGAGGCTGACTTCTGACCCAGGCCTTGCAGACTGTTTTGTGTCCCTGGGTCTGAGCGCATGACCATGGTGGATGTCTAGTTTCTCCTCCCAGGGACTCTCAGGCCCCCACCACCCTGGTCTCACAGGTCTGGAGGATACAGTTGCCAAGTGGTCCTCCTTTTCCCAGAAGTCTCTGCCCTTCATCTTCTCTCTACCACCGAGGGTGAACCTGGTAGGCAAGGCGGGGATGGCTTCCAGGCCCCATGACTTTGGTCAGTTGTCAGCACCCCCGGTTCCAGGCTCAGGAATGGCAGCCTGCATGCATGCCTCACCCTCCTTTTCTCCCAGCTACTGCCCACTGCCCACCTTCTGCAGGTCCATCACCCTCTCAGGGGGCTCATTTGTGTCCGACTCTTTGCGACCCCATGGACTGTAGCCCTCCAGGCTCCTCTGTCCATGGGATTCTCCAGGCAAAAATCCTGGAGTGGGTTGCCATTTCCTTTTCCAGGGGATCTTCCTGATCCAGGGATCAAACTCAGGTCTCCCACGTTGCTGGTAGATTCTGTACTGTCTGAGCCCCCAAGGAAGCCCCTTTGGTGGAGCAGAGGCTGGTTTCTCTGTTTGGCTGGGGTCTGATGTACCCTACCTACACACTCCATCCCCTGCCACCTTCCCTTGTTCCCCTGTCACCTCTGGCCCTGTCTCTTGCACACTGAGCCCAACATTAGCCTTTGGGGCCTGAGAAATGAAACAGTTTGCAATTTCCTTGGTACCAGTCACTGTCCACAAAACACAGTCCAACATATATTCGAGTGGGGCAAGAGAAGAGTGTGGTGTAATTTAACGTCTTCCTCCGAGGCTCTGCAAGCAATAAGCAAGGCATGGGCAGGTCAAGAGACGGTTTTAATTCAGTGCACTTCTTTGCAAGAAGGGCATAAATAAGAGGAGATGGGCTGGGACTTGCCTGGCAGCGTGAGGATGGATACAGAGAGAAGAAAAGGGAGAACATGACATTGGAGTTGAGCTTCAAGCTGTGAGCTAGAGTTTAAGAATCAGATAATTCATGATGTGACAGAGTTTAAGATCAGATAACTCCTAATGTGATGTGAGAGTTGGACTATAAAGAAAGCTGAGTGCCAAAGAATGGATGCTTTTGAACTGTGGTATTGAAGACTCTTGAGAGTCCCTTGGACTGCAAGGAAATCCAACCAGTCCATCCTAAAGGAAATCAGCCCTGAATATTCATTGGAAGGACTGATGCTGAAGCTGAAACTCCAATACTTTGACCACTTGATGAGAAGAGCTGACTCATTGGAAAAGACCCTGATGCTGGGAAAGATTGAGGGCAGAAGGAGAAGGGAACAACAGAGGATGAGATGGTTGGA